ACCACCACCGGTACCACCACCACCACCGGTACCACCACCTCCGGAACGTCGACGACGTCTACGCCGGCGCCAACCATCAACCGAGACAAGACTATCAACGATCACCAACACAAGAAGTATAAGGATCAGTGTCTTGTTCATGATGATGAAATTGATGGTATAATCTGCCAATATTAAAGGTAAATGTTATTATAACGTGTAACTTGTACTTTATACGATTTTAAGTGTATAAAACTCGGATGTCCCGTGGTGTTAGCTACTATACGATGACTGTAAAGCGTGGGTGTCGTCACCTGCACATGTGTTAGGTGGCCATAGCATGCTATTGTTTACAAACAAGCGTAATATTGAAGGAATGATAGAGATCCAAAGCCGGTGGGAAAAGTCAACAGCTGATTAACATTTACTACCTCGAAAATTTTTGTTGTTGAAAGGTTATGGTGACCTTTAACGTTGACACTGTATTTGAACAATGCAATTCAATGTTACACACTTCCTTTCTCAGTCGGATAACGCTACACGGTACTAGCATGGACGTACTAGAGAACTCTAGTACGTCCATGGTACTAGTAATTTAGACTTTTGACAAAATGATCATTGGATGAAATAATAGTGACTTTGAGCGATAACATATGAAATGATGTTTGGTATGGCCTAAGGCTTCTATGGTACCATGGGGTATTAGACACCACGATATTCTCTGCGGTATTCAGACAAGTCGTTCCCGGACAAAAAGTCACTGGACAAGTAACACACAGAACAAAACGTCGCGATACTAATAGCTTCTGGGGTCACTATACAACTCCCGAGACCGCCCGGTATCAAACATGTGTGTGACCGAAACCTCATTTAAGATTGGTAAATGGTGACCGAATCGTCCTACATACCCGTGCATGCAACACTTGAATTAAATCAATATATTTTAATAAAAAGTAGCAAAGTTATTTTTCCCGATTAGTAGTGGTATTAAAATCGTGCGACGCTCGAAGTAAAACGATATGTCGCCATAATTGCGACTAAAACGATGTATTGTGATGTACGAGATATATGGTATTATTGTCTGAGGTGTTCTGACTATAATACACAGTGGGAATGCTACTTTAAATCAC